TGCAAATAGTAGCTAGTTATGCAATAGTAGCATAATTACTTTGATGAGTACTTACTCATAGGTGACAGGGCACTTGCCCTGTAAAACCTACACTCACCCAATTTTACTTACTTTTACGTATGGATACTGTAATACAAATCTTCGGCCAAAATCTTTGAACTCTGTTGGATAGTAATGATGTTGGGTAATGCCGAACGTGTCAGTTGGATCGCCAGCTAACTTCTCTATTTCATATTGCTCTTTATCAAGGATTTGCTGTTAAAATAGGAATTAAAGATTTTACAGATCCGTTGCAGGAGTAAGAACTCAAAAAAAGATTTCCGACAATTAATGATTAGCATAATAAAATAGATAAATTTTCCTTTAAAGTTGTATATTGCAGCATGGAAAATAATCCAGCCCAGCTGAATTTGAATTGCTATATGAGATGCCCAAGAATGAAGTAGGTTTGCAATAGCTGTAGAATTGGAAAACACTATTGATGAGATGGGGGTTTGTACTCTCAGATTTGATGAGTGTTGTCAGTCTCATTGTTGTTACATTTTCGAACGAATCGAAAAGTTTGAGTAGATAATGATCATGCACGTGGGATGTCCCGAATTGAGTGGGCATACCGAGTACCTACGGTTATTATCCAAATTTTCAAGTGGCTTATTGGTTTCTTCAAGACCAGTTTGGCCAAATTGATATCTAAAAGAAAACTTTCATGTGACAACAATGCCTTTAGAATTATACGCACATGTAACTAAGTGTGCGCGTGCCCATTGTACCGGTACGTACGTAATTGTAAATCTGCTATCGGTCTATTATAACAGTTCTTGGCATATATTAGATCTTACCGGGATTTGTTTATTAACTTTTCCTTTATCATTTATATATTCGATTAAAGTTTCGACGGTGCCATCTTTTTCTCTTTCGTTATTTTGATTTTCTGGTAACTCCATGGAGCCATCTTCATCTCTTCCATTATTTTGATTCATTGATAATTCTGTAGAGTCATCTTTTTCATTTTCGTTGTTTTCTATCATTGATAATTCCGTGGTGTCATAATTTTCACTTTCATTATTTTGATTAATTGATAATTCTTTGGAGTCATCACTTTTACTTTGTTCAGCTTCGAATCTAAACTGTCCTTCATTACTTGCGTCTTCCTCTAATAATTCACAGTTCTAAAATTAATCGATTAAAAATATATTTTTTAAAGTATGTAGGTACTTTACTGAATTTTATATTATTTCCGATCCTAACTCATAATTATCTTAGCTTTCTCCTCTCCTTAATCCTGCTTTCTCTCAATCCTTCTTTTTCAAACTTGCGCCTGTTACCTAATGAGTTGTTTATAAAGAGATGAGGAAAATTTCTGGTTTATTTGAAAGCGTAAGAGACGAATAATGTCACTTTTAAATTTATTGTAAACTAGTAGCCTGCCCTCGCTTTGCTTCGGTGTAGAGCTGTAGTGTAAGTAGACTATAGTTTTTGTTCTCAGGCTTGTATTATATACAATGAATTTGTTTATATAATTATTTTTCTCACCTTTAAAACCTTCTCTAGACCTCTACGAGCCAAGACCAAGATAAGATAAATTCGTTCAGTCGTTCTCGAGTTTTAGCGAGACTAACGAACAGCGATTGATTTTTATTTAAATGGATTATCTTAACCTACCTATGATAACAAAATGAAACCTAACAATATGAAAGAGTTCCTCGAAAACAGGAAAATTCACTATCTCACCCTGAGCATAAATTGATGAACAAAACTTAACACAAAAATTAAACATATCCACCTCATCGCTTTTAACTGTTTCCGTAGTTTGCCAGTAATCTTTCTTCTTACGTAATATAAGATAAGAAAATTCAATTAGTATTGACTTTTATGAGTTTTTCTTTACAAAGATTGTACTCCTTTCGTCGAAATAATATAAATTTTGGTAACTTTTGTTTGTACGAATTATTGAAAAAAAAAATACTTATCAACAATCAGAATTAACAGTTATAGTTAGATTATACAAAGAAAGTAAATATCTGCTCTTTATGTTTTTTCCTATCCAAGGAATTCCTATACTATGTGTCTTTTTTAATGACCCTAATTCATTCGGTCTGCTAATAATGGTTGGTTACATTTTGCACCACAAATATTACTTTTATAACAATAGGTAATTATTTAAAAAATAAGTATTTCTTATGTTCATGCTCATTAACATCACCCTAAACTAAGCACTAGAAGAAATGCGTTAAGGGTTACTAAGGCAACGAATTGAAATACATAATAATGAAACATTATTACATTCACAAGTTAATGTTTTTTAGAAATATATTTAAACAGCCATGACTAAGCCATGGCAAACTTATAAATTTTATTTTTTTCTGGAATATTAATGTAATTGTAATCTTATTTCTTTTTACAAATATAATAAATGGAAGTGTTCCTTTTGCATGCTATAGCATATGGCTAAATAGGCTTAAAGCTACCTTTATATTTTTGTTCAACATCAACATTTTAATGGACCCACCCTTGTTTAATGGCAAAAAAAAAATTTAGGTACAAATGTTCGTATTCATTATAGAAAAAAATCCCTACCAAGATTCGAACCAAAATCTCCTATCTTTGTTTCGTCAGCGCATAGTAAATGTTTTGAGTTTTTTATTACTTTGTCTATATCATAAATACAGGCGTTGTAAAAAAGAGTACCAAGATGCGACCCCTGCGGCATTCTAGCGGGTTAAAGAGAAAAAGTTAGACATATCCACTCAAAACCATAGTGTGTGAGTGGGTGGTGGGGTAAAAACGGACCCAGCGCAACAAATCGCTGTGTATATACCAAGGCAGTGAAGTTTCTGAAGAAGGATGTCGTGGTGGTCGAAAGCTTTTTATTAGTCTGTGAGTTTTTGCTTTTGGAATTAAATGTAAGAAGTCAAAATATAATTTATTTCCTTCAGATCCTGATTCGTCCTACCCTTAGCACTAAAACATCAACCCAAAAAGAAAAATCATCCATACGAAAGTAGATAAATAAGTCAATAAAAAAGAAAGAAAAAAAAGTAGATTATTTAATTTTTGTTTTTGGCAACAAAAGTCTGGATAATTTGGCTAAGGGTGCGGCTAGAGTGCACTCAGATTCAGATTCAGATTCAGATTTCGAAAACAAGCGCGAGAAATAAACAGTGTAGTCGAAGGGTACGGCCAGAGTGCACTCCTGATTCAGATTCAGATTCAGACTCAGAAAACAAAGCGCGAGAATAAGCAGGCAACCTGCTTAGCCTACACTGTTTATTTCTCGCGCTTGTTTTCGAAATCTGAATCTGAATCTGAGTGCACTCTGGCCGCACCCTATTATGGGACAAGGCCGTTAAATTTATAGAGAAAAAAAAAACCTCACCTTAAATTAGTAAAAAAAGAAATAAAACCTACTACAAAAGGAATAATTTTATTTTAAGCCCTTTATCTAATGAAAAATTTATTGCCGGTCAATATCAAGGCAATGCTTGTGCAAAACCTTAATATTTCCCATAATTGACTATGGTGATTTGTGCTACCTCGACCTGAATGCAGATCTACTCAACAAACTTGATCGCCTTCAGAATAACTGCATTCGGTTCGTTTTCAATCTGAGAAAATATGACCATGTGTCCGCATACCGATCTCTCTTAAAATGGATGCCCATTAGGCAGCGCAGAAGTATGCGGGCTCTGACAACCCTGTTCTCTTTGCTGGATTCTCCAAATGCTCCCCCTTATCTCACTTCTCAATTTCAGTACTTATGTACCTCTCATAGTAAAAATCTTCGATCTTCTTCTAATCGTTTACTTATCGTTCCATCACACTGCTCCGATATTATTCACTCTTCCTTCTTCGTAAAAACGATACTTTTGTGGAATGATCTCCCGCTAGATATCAGAATGTCCCCTAGTAAATATACCTTTAAAACCAAACTGCGAAGCTTTTTATTAGAACAGGCGTTTTGTTGAGTAGTTTGTCGTCATTATTTTGTATTTATTTTGGAAATATGTATTTATTTGTGTATTCATTTAAATATACTAACTTATGTATGTGTATGTTTATATATTATTATTTATATTTATTATTTTTATAAACTTCAATGTGATTTCCACTTCAGTTGTGCACCCTACCACTAATAATATCCACAATATCCTATGGTTGACTGGTAGAGAATGCCTACCGCATTAAGTCCGCCATTGTACATTTGTGCATAAAGAATAAATGAATAAGCCATTTGAACATTATGTTCCAAAATCAAATCATTTAGCGCGCGCTTTCGCGACTTCCTGTTACACACTTTCGTCCCATTTCACGAAATCACTCACACAATTTGCAGGAAAGCCAGAGGAAAGATGATACACATAAAAAAACTGGGGAGTTTTTGGCGGGATTTCATCGAGTGTGGTTGGCGTCTTATTTCAATTATTCTTAAATTCGTTCATAGTGGATAATAATAAAATTGGTGTGATTTTGTGTTGCAACCGTCTGCGCAACTGAAGAATTAGTGGAATCTTTAAAATATACGCTATTATGGTCAAGTGGACGTGAGAACTTTATTGTAGTGTTGACTACCTCACAGAAGCTTATCGTAAAAGCCAACTCGAGACATGTCCTGCCAAACACTCCAAGAAATATTAGAATGCGTCACACCGACATCCATTCTAATGTAAATAAAAGAAGATTAATAAAACTAAAGATCAGGCTGTTCATTGTTCCCTTTGCCTTCCCTAAAACGGGAGAATCTAAAAATAAAAAGATCTGGATAATTTTGACATTTCATTCTGTATCTTAGCATTTTACGGATTTTTGTCAGCTGTATAAAGTTTATTTTTATTTGTGTTCCACAAATTGTAGTCCTGTTTTGTTGATGTCGATACGATAGCAACTTCTCGGATATGTATATCTGTGATGTCATCATAGTGCAAGCTGAATCGTGAAAGAAGATATTACCTATATCATTTAGTTGTTGTGTACGTTTTGTTGTAAGTAAAAATTAACAAGAAATGTTCGGGAGACCAAGATGCAGGGAATGGACGCCTTTAGCGACGCAACAGTTGCGTTTGAGGAGTTTAATACAGGTGAGAATGAAAAGATAAAATAGGTAGGTGGCTCGATGTTCGAGAACAACTTTTTTACAAACTGTATGACATAAAAATTAATGTAGGGAGGTAGCTACTTACGTTCTTAGTTTACTAATAAACGCCTACGCGTTTGAGCTTTGTTCTCTTGATTAAATTAGGTATGTAGATATTTTTTCATACTTTTCTTGTTTGCAATAATTACCACAATTTTGAGCTTTCAATTGTGTCAAAATCTAGCATTTTCTGTAAGATAAAAGTTCTTAAGTGTGTTTGAATGACAATTTTAATCATAAACAAATTAGCTCAAATATTTCCTTGGATATTAATGTAAATTGTGATAACAATTAGTGAACCCACAGTTGTTCCAGAAGTAGTTTCTTGTGCAAATGGATTGTCTTAATATTTATTTTCTGAAGTCATTAAAATCCAAAATTGTCAGATAAACTTATATTACAACAAATTAGAACACACATTGTTTAAAGTTGACAAAATAAAATACTAGCCAAACTTTTACACTCTAGTACGGAAACTGGTTCAAATATAGATTAATGGAAATCGAGTTGGCGCACCGTAATTTTATCGATCACCGATTAAATTAGAAGTCAATTTTCAAATTAGAAGTTTTAAAGTGCGGAGCAAGAGGCTATTAATTATATATAATAAACAAGAGGTTTATTAGAAAAAAATATTATCATTTTTTTCTATATATACTTATATATCTTATCTATATATTCTATATATACCCAGATATACTTTAAATCCAATGACCACCACTGCGAAAGTTGCTTAATTGCAGCCGAACGCGCTTACTGCCTGCGCCATCGAGCTCCTCGAATCCTCTAAGAAAAAAATCTTCTTTATAGAGTTCCTCCGTGCTTCGGAAGGCACTTTAAGCCATTGGTCCCGGCTGCATCTGCAGTCGTTAGCACCCGCCAATCCGCACTGGGCCCGCGTGGTCGGTCATGGCCCAATCTCCCTATTCCATCCATAGGGAAGGCCTGTGCCCCAGCAGTGGGGACATTAATAGGCTGATGATGATGATACTTTAAAATTTAAATAAGATTTTTTCTATACTTTAAATAAGACTTAGAAATCCTTACGTCTAATGTCATGAATAATTTTTATTATTTTTAAAGCATGTAACTGCTTGATGTTTAAATCTAAAGAAAATATAACTAGAAAAAAATTCCACGCGGACCAGGCAGCAGACGGGACTCGAACCCGCACCCTTCGCAATCCGGGCGAATGCACTGACCAATTATGCTACCGCGGCCCTCACGGACCGCGTCGAAATTCTTTCTAGCTATTCTTAAGCTGCAAGGCAGCGCCATCTCTTCGCATTATAGGTAAACCCACAATGTCAAATGAATACTTTTACAAGTATTAAACATTTGAAAGAAGAAATAGCAATTATAGTTATAATTTTTATTATTTTTAAAGCATGTAACTGCTTGATGTTTAAATCTAAAGAAAATATAACTAGAAAAAAAAAATTCGACGCGGTCCGTGAGGGCCGCGGTAGCATAATTGGTCAGTGCATTCGCCCGGATTGCGAAGGGTGCGGGTTCGAGTCCCGTCTGCTGCCTGGTCCGCGTGGAATTTTTTTCTAGTTATATTTTCTTTAGATTTAAACATCAAGCAGTTACATGCTTTAAAAATAATAAAAATTATAACTATAATTGCTATTTCTTCTTTCAAATGTTTAATACTTGTAAAAGTATTCATTTGACATTGTGGGTTTACCTATAATGCGAAGAGATGGCGCTGCCTTGCAGCTTAAGAATAGCTAGAAAGAATTTCGACGCGGTCCGTGAGGGCCGCGGTAGCATAATTGGTCAGTGCATTCGCCCGGATTGCGAAGGGTGCGGGTTCGAGTCCCGTCTGCTGCCTGGTCCGCGTGGAATTTTTTTCTAGTTATATTTTCTTTAGATTTAATGTCATGAAGTTTGTTTGGAAATTTAAACAGCACCAGACGTAAAAAGAATTAAAAATCTTCCATACAAAACTTCTTGACATTTGACTTATATTGATATTTAATTCAACTATTCCAGTTCAATGTTGGTTTGTGCTAACGGTACTGAAGGGGTAAGGATTGATTTCCAGTGAAATCACTTAATTGTCATTCCATGTAATGGGTCTTACAGGTCATACACATTAAGGAATAAATAAGCAGTGATTTGAGTGAAAACATTATAATTTTTATATTTTTAAAACACTTTCCTTTTACAGTGTATTTCTATGAAAACTTAATTGAAAATTAATCATATTGAAAAATGCACCTACTCAAAAAACGTAATGAATTTTACCTAATTGTGTTGTATGCAGAATTAGATAAAATTCGCACTCTCTTAGCACCTGTTGGGGGGTCCACCTCGGTCCTCAGGAGTATTGTCTGGTTTTTAGTGACTACGTTCAGAGCGTGAGGTAGGGCCCTGCTTATTTCACCCGGCCCAAGGGCTGGCTGAAATGAGCAGGGAGGAGTCCCACATACCTTCTTCTCACTCCTCCAGTGGTTGAAGGATGCGTAAGGCATTTCCCAGACAAAAAAATAAATAAATAAAAAATGCTTCTAGGTACTTTTGCATGAATGCAAAACTTTGGAAAATATACTTTGTAACATTCTTTTTATAAGAAAACCAAACTCCTTTTGGTTTAAAAGAGTTTTACTTTCACAAGTTTTACAAGTTAACACTATAAAATGCAGAGCGTAACAATCGTCAATACGTAGTGGCTTCGTACGGTTAACTGACTACTAAAATGGTGGCATCGCGAGAGGGGGCCGCGCGGAGCGCGGTCCGACTCCGGCGCATCAGCGGGAAGCGCTCTGATTGGTTGAGGGGCGCGCGGAACACGATCCGATGCGTGCCTTTACAGGCTGTGTCGTCAGAATCAATTTTTTATTTAATTTTGTCGAGCTACCTTCGAAAGACTTTTATTGAGCGTTCGGTTATTTCATTGTTCGATTTTTAAGTTTTATTGTCTATGTATGAATTTATTACTTAATTTAGTTAATAAACTAATAAACTTTATTTAAAAATCTTTTTTGGAATTTTGAATTTATTTATTTGACCCTAACTACCGTAAACTACCACCGTTCCAATATTGGGAGAACCGGCGAAACAAACTCAAGAGAGACTTTCTATCTCCTTTCTCTCTCCTCCTCCCCCTTGTCAGCAAAAGTATGCAAAGCTCTTACACCCCCCCCCCCCCCCATGCTTACGTAAACATTGGTACCAATATGCATTTTTCCTTTAATGTATTCTATTTTTTTATTGAGTCATGTGCTTTCATGAGCTTCATGAGTCGCAATACTTAAATAGGCTTATAATAGAGGACTTTAATGCACATAATGATCATTTAAACAAACTTTATTGACACAGTATTCAAAATAGAGTAAGGTACTAATATTATAATCTTATTAAGTACTATTACGTACAAAACATACTTCTTTCGATTTTTCTTCTTTTCATGGCATCCATGATGCTAACGTAATCACTATCTCGACCCCCCAACCCCCATGTCATCAAAAATAAGCGAAACAAAGACCCCCCTGCCCCCCCCCCCCCCTATAGTGCTTACGTAATACTTGAACGGCCCCTAATTATCATAAGGTACAGAACCTTTTAACCTTATGGTACATAAAAAAGGAAAAGATTATTATAAATTCAGATTATACAGATCAACAATATTTGTTAATTTTTCAGATTGTCGGCTACAACATACGACCTCCAGAGGGCTGTCGATCGCAGTGTAGTTTCTACCTTACGCTGCATCACACCACAATGTCAGCACCTTTCTACACAAGTGAGAGAATATCGTCTCCACATCCAAAATGGAAAGAGATTGACTCAGGTCTGTATAATGTTGTTTTCAACACATTTTCTCAAAAAATGCATTTACGAAGGTTGTATACATTGTTCGAAAGTTCAAAACTATGCTTAGTTTTAATGGTACCATGTGTATCCTTTACTTTTTTTATTTTAATTGGACCGTTTTGGGCGTGATTATGATCTACATTTGTCTTACTCTATGTTCTATGTTAAAGTATATGTTTCCGCACTCAGTCATTCATTGTATGTGAGCCATGGCGGCCGATCACTCCAACAGCCCATTTCCCCCCAGAAGCAGCTCAATCTTCCCAGTGTACTCAGGGTATTCTTAAACCTAACCATAAAGGTTAGGTTGGGTTAGGCAAAACAAGTAATCAGATGTGACAAATAAGTGAGTAGGCAATACAGGTCTCTCCTTTGTCAAAGTGCTTATCTGCCCAATTGAGTGTGCAAGACTTTGATTATATACACCCTAGATACCATGTTAACTAACTAAATATATAAAAATAAAAACAAAGCGACCAAAAATCTACTAAATACGGTAGATATACCCGTCGCTACACACGCACACAAAGACTGCTTTAGTACAATCTGAACATTGGAGTCCTGCACATATTAGTACAATCTGACATTAGAGTTTTGAGCCATTAAAAAAGAAAGAAGAAGAAGAAGACATTAGAGTCACACACACAATGCGCGAAATATAAGCCGTTTTCTTTGCGTGTTTTATTTGGTTTTGCTCTATCTAGGCGTATCACTACATAGTATAAAATAAAGTCGCTTTCTCTGTCCCTATGTCCCTTTGTATGCTTAAATCTTTGAAACTATATACTAGCGCTCCATACATGGAACGCTCTGGCATCCTAATTTAGAACCGATCGACTCGCGTCGCAAGATTTGGTTGGGCTTTTTAGTACTTAACAGGAGTAAGGGGCTCCATACACGGAACGCTCTGGCATCCTGATTCAGAACCGATCGACTCGTGTCTCAAGATTTGGCTGGACTTTTTAATCGTTAACAGGAGTAAAGCGCTCCATACATGGAACGCTCTGGCATCCTAATTTAGAACCGATCGACTCGCGTTGCAAGATTTGGTTTTGCTTTTTAGTAGTTAACAGGAGTAAAGGGCTCCATACACGGAACGCTCTGGCATCCTAATTTAGAATCGAACTCGCGGCGTAAGATTTGGCTGGGCTTTTTAGTCGTTAACAGGAGTAGAGAGCTCCATACACGGAACGGTCTGGCAACCTAATTTTCCGTACGGCTAAGATTTGGCTGGGCTTTTTAGTCGTTAACAGGAGTACAGAGCTCCATACACGGAACGGTCTGGCATCCTAATTTTGATATTTGGCTGGGCTTTTTAATCGTTAACAGGAGTAAAGGGCTCCATACGCGGAACGCTCTGGCATCCTAATTTTGAACAGATCGACTCGCGTCTCAAGATTTGGCTGGACTTTTTAATCGTTAACAGGAGTAAAGCGCTCCATACATGGAACGCTCTGGCATCCTAATTTAGAACAGATCGACTCGCGTCTCAAGATTTGGCTGGACTTTTTAATCGTTAACAGGAGTAAAGCGCTCCATACATGGAACGCTCTGGCATCCTAATTTAGAACCGATCAACTCGCGTCGCAAGATTTGGCTGGGCTTTTTAGTCGTTAACAGGAGTAGAGAGCTCCATACACGGAACGGTCTGGCAACCTAATTTTCCGAACGGCCATTGTCGTGGTATGACGCGCTCCGTACCGTTGCATCCGCTTAACACGGCACGTCACGGCACCGTATATCTGCACGACGCGGCAACGAATGCATTCAGGGGCCCGCCCAAACAGTTCTGCAATCGCATTGTCAAAGTTTCTATGAAAATTAAGTTTAACTAACTAGGCTGTGTGTGATGGGGTTCCCAACATTCGTGCCAATTTTCGGCTGGGTGCGAATTAATGTAACCTTACCCCTATTTTTGAAGCTAATTTGACCGGACTATAAACCTATATATGTGTAGTCTATGTATATATATGTAATATGTATAGGTATATAATATATATATATATATACATATATATGATGTGTATTTATGTATGTATATATACTTAATTCACAAATTCGTTTAAATCCCTTGTTTCTTTTACTGACACCGCCGACTCCAGCTTTCTTTCAATCCTCTCCATCCAAAGGATGTCTGGAAGAAATCGATTTTAGCGATAAGACCGCCCATTGAAGCACTCTTTTTTTTACAATTGTAATGTCCCTCATTTCTGTTCTGTGTTGTGGTGTTTTCAATAAAGTATTGTGTATTGTATTGTATTGTAGGTTTTCCCAAGGAACTTATATACTAACTGGAATGCTTACGAAGCAATATGGGAATTCAAAAAATGTGCTCTAACTAGTTTTACATAAAGTCCATTTTTGTTTCTACCGTCATAAGGGGGGAAATACTTCTAGCGCGACAACGATGAAAGTGGAATCTGTGAGGCACAGATTGCAACTGTTTGGGCACACTACTATAACAAGACAGATTCCACCAAATCAGCTATGCTCTTGGAACGATTTTGAGGGTCGCGTAAGCATTTCAGCTAGTATATATAAGTTCCTTGGCTTTTCCATACAAAAGGACATCGACGAAATCGGCCCTAGCATGCCCAAAAGAACGTCCTTCACTATTATTTTTATATTATTTTTTTAACTTATTAGCAATTAATCATTGTAAACGGACAATCTGTTTAAGAAAATAAAAAATAAAAGTTCTGTTACTAGATACTACAGTCTGTTCATCCAACTTGGCCCTCCTTTTTATTGAAAATACAGCATTAAAAATCAACTGATAACTAGATTCAATAGGTTTCAGACTATAATAACGATTTATTTTAATAGTTTATTGGCTTCGTTAATATTTTATTATTAAACGAGTGATTCTGTTAAAAAGTTGTGCCAAGATTGTTTACCTTAATAAATGCAATATAGGTATTTATCAACATAAAAATAGAACTAGGTACCTTAGTCAATAATAGTTATTACTAGTATTTATATTATATTTATAAAAAGATTATTTCTGAAATTATGTAAATATAGTTTATACTCCCATCCCATGTAATATCTGTTTATTTTTATGAAAATCATATTGATAACCAGGTACATACCTAATTACCGATAGTAAAATATAGACACAGGTAAATGGAAAGACTGAACATTTCATTTGAAAAGAAATCTATTATTACCTACTACAGGTAGGTATAGGTATCATAGGTGCCAACTGACAACACTCATAAATCAATATGAATATAAGCATTTATTATTTTTATTATTAATTTCATTTTATGTTCATTTAATGCATATTATTTCAGTGCTTACATAGAGGTAAAAACTAAATCTATTCAGAATATATAAAGTGTACATCTTTTACGATAAAGTATAATAATTATAACCTCAAAATCTAATTCATTCTGTAGTAGGCCACTGTTCCTCAAGTTGTCCGTATCTCAACAAATGCTTAATTAGAGTTTATGAATGATTCCGAACACAACTAGCATTTTCTCATTGCTGGGCGTTATAGGGCATTCAATGTATGGGGAACGCAATGTCCTTTGACATTGACTTTCCATACAAAACTTGACTGCTGTCAGAATTCGTGTTTGGGCCTCGGAACTAAAATTATACTAAAACGAGAAATGCAGTTGAATTCTATGGACTTTTATCTTCTGTGTCATGTTTTGACACAAATGGATAAAGAATTTGTTTATTTTTTATCACAGAGGAAACAACATCAAGGTACAATATCGCCGCTGATAATGCAATGTTGTTGATATCAATCTTACGTAGCTGTGAGATAAACAAACATTCTGTTACAAAAAATAATAAGCACCAAAATTGAGTGCGTAATTGCATTGCCAGTTTACATAGTATCATATTAGTTGCATAATTTAAAATAAGGCGAAAACAAGCTTATATTCATTATCTCTAACCATACTACATACATACATTATGACAATAATGTGACTAGTGTTGTATATTGCTTATAACAACCATCGGACATAAAGTCCAAAGTTATATGGTCCCTTCAATGTCGTTATATCCGGTTTCGACTGTATATGTATACTTTACCACCCGACTTGTCTATAGATGAACAAAAACTTGTGTGCAAAGTACAAAAACTTAGTCGCAAATCTTAAGCGTGCGTAAATGGCCATATCTTAATTATCCCAAAGACACTGAACTTAGCATAGTTATGTCATCATTAATGAATCATATATTGTGATGATAACGGGCTGTATCTAATGCAATGTGTGTCATTTTAAAACGAGTTCTCTTATCTCTGTGTCGTGTTTACACGGAATTGGGTTAAACTGTTAAGCTAGCAGTTCACATGGCTATTTGTATTTGGTATATGTCACTTTGACAGCAGTATAACTTTTATCTCGAGGAGCTTAATGGTGCAGGTATTAAGCAATTTTCGCAATAGCCTATCATTGGATGGGTGTCCATAAACTTAATATCTCGAGTTCCTCCGCGCTTCAGATCACGTCAAGCCGTTGGTCACGGCTGCATCTGCAGTCGGTAGCATCTATCATTTCGCATTGGGCTGGTGTGGTGGATCATGGCATAATCTCCCTGTTCCATTCACAGGCAAGGTCTGTGCCCCAGCAGTAATGACATCAAAAGGCTGATGATGAACTATATCCTCAGATTTTCATGTAGCAAATAGAACAAGAGAAAGCAAGAAAACTTATATTTAACAAGGTGCTTTCAAAATCGTTCTAACAGTAATTACAGAATTCTGAGTCTAAATCATTTTTACTGAAGTAATTTCAAAACTAGTTATGTTAACCGATGAATAACAAAGTTTGTTTACTAATAAATAAATTTCTGTCACAAATAGAACAACTGTTCAGTACCCCTAGCACCATTAACGAATTCGAATAGTTTGCAAACCCAAATGCCAATGTCAAATTTTGTATATAAACTTGAACAGTAGCGGCACAAAGTACGTACAGAGAACTAAAAATCAGTACACATTTGACAATGACATTTCGAACTCGCAAACGTTACGAATTCGATATTGGTTCATGCTAGGGGTACTGTTGCATTTTACACTATTATTTCAGTTAGTTAATTTAAGTTAACGGAAGACTAGATGCATCCAGTCTTCCGTCTTTATCATATTATTTGTTCTTGCGTAAATGTTAATAGAACTAAAGTAAATTATTATAAAGAGCCTAGATCATTTGCAATCGACCTATTTGTATTGAATCCATTTCGTATTGTTGCGTCATATTATGTACCTATATAGGTCAATACTGATAAAATACACGGTTGTTTAACGAGTGTCTGGATACTGACAAAAACAACGTAAATTAGGAACTCTATGAGTGTGTATGCTCACTGCAATGTCCCACTCCGTGGGCCCAGTGCGGATTGGTGGGTGCTAATGAATGCAGATGCAGCCGAGACCAACAGCTTAACGTGCCTTCCGAAGCACGGAGGAGTGAGAGATAGTCAATATTTGGTTAACCATCCAATAAGCGACCACTGTGAAAGTTTAACGATCGCAACCGAATGCGCTAACGCTAACCACTTTCGCCATCGAGCTCCTATCCAATCCATTTGTAGTTATAAGTATAGACTATTTAATGACATAATTGAAAAATCTAAAAAAAAAATCTCCTTGTCCACAGAAATGATCCACCGAATGTCGTCAACGAACATCGTAATAAGAATTTGGTGTCACATCCTCCAATCCACCGATGAAGTCTTACCCCAAGACACAGTTATAGAAACATGGGGGGTTTATTTCACCGGTTTACGTTACATAGGGGCCAACTTAGCTTTAAATTTCACCTCAGACTGTTTTAAAAGCAATACTCTAGTGTTCCAAATGCACGGTGGTTACTTTTGCTCGTACAAAAGTCTCAAACTAGACATAATACCACCGGAAAACGAGTTGGAACACGGTTCGTTGTCTTCGGACTCTTCGGGTAAGACTAATTTATCCCGGGTGACTTTGGAGCCGAAGCATATCCAGAGGTTCAAAGAAGGTAGGTCTGTCTCACCGAGCACGTATTCTAGAAAAGTCGAGAAGGAATATTCAAAAAGCAACAGCCCAGTAGACAGAGGATTCAAGCAGAATTTCCCGACTTTGAAAAACTCGGCTAGTCTAAACATTGGCCAGCAAAGAGATAGCAGGAGAGAAAACAGCAACGAGAGAAAGACCGTTGTCGATCCAAACTACATTTACGAGCACTCTCCTGACAGTTTGGACGTTACGCAAGAAGTTAATGGTATTTTGTCCAAAAACGCTTCGCAAGACGATCTCATCGGTAGCAAAATAGATCTAAGCGAGACGGCGGAGAACTACGACTTAAGGAATCAGACAGACGGTGTACCCAAATTCAGATATTTGGCTCTGAGTTTCCTGAAATCGGAGATACGGCCGAGCTACAACGCTAGCAAGTTGCAGAAGTTGCATTTGCTCCAGTATTCTATAAAGAAGAAGCAGGAAGCTGTCCAGGAGATAAAGGAAAGGATTTACCAGAAATCCGCTTTGACTAACGACAGTTGGCCGCAACCTGAAGATTTGGACGTTCGGTTAAGACTGCGGAGTAGATCGCAAAGGAATTTGTTCTCTCCAGAAGATTTGGATGAGCAGACGTCGTCACAGACTGACTTGAATGTGAAGAATGGTAGGCTAAAAGATGATAAGCCATATGTGTCTAATGGTCCAAGATTAACTTTAAAGTTGAATGATCTCCTGTCTTTTAAGGTATTTGTGACTTTTAGATTATTTTTATATTAGAATCTATAGGTAGCTCATTTCTTGCGAAGCTGGTAGAACATAAAATATTCTATAACTCGAAACCAAAATCGATCTGTACCCCAGCCATATCTCATCAATATCACATATAGCATTAGTTTGATCCAAGTTGTTATCCGGGAGTAGTGACTTGTTCCCAAACCCACCGCGTACAATTGTTTCTGAATTTGATTTCTGATGTCTTTTTCGACTTTCGATATGCTTTTACTGACTGATTGAAGAATGCCGGCGCATCATAAAGTTTTATACTTTAACCCCCTTATTAATAAACAAGGAATAAATAATCTTAGACTAATTACACCGTGTTTTGTTCATGTCACTCAAATGCCATTTGTCATTCAATAGACAGAGACATAGAGTAACTAATCTAAGCTTAGTCTATGTTATTAATAAGGGAGTAAGATAGGTATATATTGAGGAGCTCGATGGCGCAAGTGGTTAGCGCGTTCGGCTGCGATCGTTGAAATTTAGCAACTTTCACTGTCGGTCATTGGATGGGTGACCAAAACTTACTATCTCGAGCTTCTCCGTGCTTCGGAAGGCACGTTAAGCCGTTGGTCCCGGCTGCATCTGCAGTCGTTAGCACCCACCAATCCGCACTGGGCCCGCGTGGTGGGTCATGGTCCAATCTTCCTATTCCATCCATAGGGAAGGCCTGTGCCCCAGAGGTGGGGACATTAATAGGCTGATGATGATTATTTATCGAACTACTACTTCTAATTATTATTAACTCTATCAATTTTTACAAATGCTAAAAACTTTTTAGTCGAAACCATCACCTTTCCAAAGGGCTGAGCACGTGAGACTGACGAAGCAACTAGAAATATTGCGGTTCAAACGCATCATACTCTCGGACGAGAGGGACAGCAAGCTAGCCAATATAAGAAGACTGAAAGAGAGGCGTGCCAAATTGTTTGAAGAGAACCAGGATATTGGTAAGCTATTTTTTTATAAATTTAAAGGAAATTTTACTAGAATAAATCCGATTTGGTCCAGTAGTCAGGCTGGATGGACCTGGGACGGAATGGAATTTGTTCCAGTAATCTTTTATTCAAATTATAAAACCGAGCAGTTTAATGCTTAAATTAAAATAAAAAAAAATCATGATTTCAAATAAGTTTGTTTTTAGAGTTCCGTATTCAAATCAAAGGGTGACGGAACCCTATTAATATTCCTGTCTATCTGTCACATGGCATTGTCTCTTGAACGAAACACAGTACAGTGGTGTGATAGACAAGTGACATTTTTACAGAATACGTGTTACTGTCACAAGAAATAATGTTACAACGTGATCTTTTTATTCATGTTTTAAATATTAAAGTAATGGTTCAAAACCTTACAATTGCGAGTCCAACTTGGACATGGCCGGTTTTTTTTCATCGTAGATGTATTGCTGAGGCTTTTTTCGCCGACTTCTTATGAGTCAAAGGAAACTGCATCTAAGTTCCTGCAGTGGGGGAACAACTTAAATTAAGAAAGAAGTGTTGCACAGAACGGACTTTTTCTTTATAGGTAGGTCCGACAAATGACTCCACCCCACCTGATGTTAAGTAACGTTGAAGTCCAGGCGTGAAGATATCTCCCCCCTTGTAGTTCTGTCCTGCAAAGAGGGGGGCTACACGGGCACGCCCAAGTAGCCCTCCGCAGAGGACGGGGGGCGGTACGGGGGGCACTAGGCCGCGTACTCAGCCCCCACGGGCCCCCCATCCTGCGCACGTCTGCGGGGTCCCCGCAATACCTCGGGAGACCCCTGCCGTGGAGCCCCGGCTAGGCCGGGAGGCTGCTGGCTGCGGAGACGCGGAAGAATTCCTAAACGGGGATCCCGTGGCTTCGCGCTAAGCAGCTTAGAGGGTGTTCGCAGGGTTTTTTAGCGGATATTATGCCGTAAAGCGCCCGTAAGGGTTACGGGGTCCTCAGTGGGCAGCCACTGCTGGGGCTCGTAAGGCTTGCGGGAGCCGGGTGTGAGGTCCGTTCGGCGATGTGCCTCTTAAAGGCGCCGTCGTCTGTAAATAGTATTTTTTGCCTGCGTATAAAAAAAAAGGCGTGAAGATATCTGGAGCTTTACTCTCTTTCTCCGAAATGAAATTTCGGTAACGAACGAATTTTAAACGAAATTTCGCCACTGACTCTACTCTATTTCATTTTTGAACAGCCACATAAAGTTCGGAACCACAAACAGTTTTCGTGAACGAATGGAATGAGTCATGTTTGTGTGTTCTTTTTATCTCTACTTTTGAGGTTACGTTTTTTTACTTGGAAACAATATATAGTAGTTTACGGCAAAATTTTTGATGACATTAAAAGAACCTTCTTTGACAGTGTTAGCCGTCTAATTTGTAGAGTTGATACAATCTATTGTATGTCAACCTAAATTTGTCGTTTAATACTTTGAAGCATTGGAATTACAATAAATCATAAAAAAACGGTTTATTTGTTAATTTTACATACTAAAAAATTTTCGTGGAGCTAAGCAGCCTTGATTAAAAATTATTTTCTTCTTTTGGCTTAATTAAAACAAACATCTCAGAACGAAAATGAAAAGGTAACACTTTTCATTTCGTCAATTTGAGGTTTAAATTTCGACCAATTATCTGTCAAATTCAACTTTTCGTTCTAAACTTTTGTGAATTAGAGTAGGCTTGAAGAATTTAATTGTCAAACTATTTTCGGACGAACGAATTTTCGAAATGAAAAAGAAACAGAGTAAGAAAAACGAAATTTCCATCGAAATTTCGTTTTTCGTTGAAACAGAGTAGACCTCCTGGTTCTACTAGCAACATTTTTAACTCACTTGTTGGGCTGGGCAGTCGTGTCTTCAATTGTTTCATTTATTTTAGTGTTTTTGCTACCAGGTTCAGAACTAATGGAGAACTACCACAGTCTTTCTCGTCGCAGCGAATGCATCAAAGAGAAGCGTCAAGCTTGCGCGGCGTTAAGAGAGTTAGCAGCCAGAACTCACGCCGGGTTAGCTAACTTGAGATGCGAGTTGTTAGCCAATCTACATGAAATATTTTACATACAGCATGTGAGTTTAAAAATCCAATATAGCGCCATCTATCAACACTAGGTTTAACTAACTGATAATAGCTATAGTGACAGCCGGAGTCTTGGAAAAATTGCATATTAAAAATTCTTCACTCTTAAGTTCGCCCTAAGTAAACTCATACAGCGTTAGGTAACTTGAGATTCGAGCTGTTAGCCAATCTGCACGAAATTTTCTTAATCATAAAGCATGTGAGTTAAAAAATCCAATACAGCCAACGAATTACAATTAATATAATAATATTTTCATTTCAATTGGTTCCACGTAAACTGCGGTTAAGTGGGCGGGGTGAAAAACTGCGATCAACACGCCGATCATAGGATTGGTTGGGATTTCCGAAGTTTTGGAATCAATAAAAGTCAAATAATTTTTCAATAACGTGCCCAAAGAAGGGTACCACTTTAAAAATACATAAAGTAGGCTGAAAAACACTTTACAGTCTTCACTCGTCACACAGCAAGCGGTGCGCGCGCTGTCGGGTAAAAATAACTTATGTCTGACAAAAATACAATATACCGATTTTCAACAGTCGTTATTTTTCAGCGCTTATTATTTCAAATTGCGATTTCAATGCAAAGTTTAGTTTAGCTAGTACCAGTAACCCCGTAGACGACGCCGCGCCGTAGCGGCCGGAAACGCGGCGCAGGCGACCTGCTTTGCGGCCGTCTTGATAAACCAAACCAATTTCACTAGGAGGATTCTCTTGAGATTGAAAATACATATGCTACTTTATTACATTAGCTTACAAATGCGACATTATTAATTCAAATGAACAGTAAACAGTTACAAATAAAGTAAATTAGCAGTTATACTTCTTCTGAAATACAGCGCCATTCTGTTGACACTATCTTGTATAAAGAGGTGATCCCGCCACCTGGAATGGAGATTTGGAAACATTTCACACATATTTTTTTCTTAACGCGCCACAAGAATGTAAAACTTGAGAAATAATTCAAAAAAGGATTAATATCTGGCGAGAACACTTTCGAATAGTCGTTTTTGAAATGTAGACTAGTGATGGAAAAGAAACCCCGTTTCCAGTAATACACATGGCGTATTATTTGCGTATCCCTCCCGATATGCGAGGACGATTGCCCGCGTACCAGTAACCCCGTGGACGACGCCGTAGCGGCCGCCTTGATAAACCAAATCAATGTTACTAGCAAATGCATACAAAAAAACAGACATATTAGGACTTAATGTCTAAAACAAAATTTAAATTATTTTTTTGTGATTCAAAATACATATTATAATGCTACTTTAAAACATTAGTGATTACAAGGGCGAAATTATTAATTCAAATGAATAGTAAGCACTTGCGAGTAAAGTAAAATAGCGGTTATACTTTTTTTTAATATAGCGCCATCTAGTGACTCTCTGTTATATTAGGAGGTATTATCCTGCCACCTGTAATCGAGATTTGGAAACGTTTACACTTTAATAACCCTTACACATATATTTTCCGTAACGCGTCACAAGAGTGTAAAATTAGATAAATACGTCAAAAAAGGACTTATATCTGGCAAAAACACTATGTCAGAGGAAGGTTTAAAACATCGGATATTAAAATGGTCTTGTTTCTTGCAATACAAACTTAGACTTCTGTTAAAAAACTAGCTTTGTTTTCCGGACTCAGAACCTTAACTAGTGATTATAAGGTATAGTTTAGCTACAGCCTCGTTTCCAGAAACACACGTGGTGTATTATCGATGTACCTCTGCCGATATGCGAGGATGATTGCCCGCGTACCAGCAACCCCGTGGACGACGCCGTAGCGGCCGGATACGCGGCGCAGGCGACTTGCGTGGCGGCCGCCCTTATAAGCCAGCCGTTAAGGTACAAAGTCACATTACTGGGCTCCGCTACCAAGATAATGGACGTGACGCCCGATTTGCCCGACCCTAGGTGAGTGGACCTTCATCTTACACTCACATTACTATAACCCCTTCGGGAGCTCTATTATTGAATCTTTTTTTTTTATTTAAGATTCTCCCTTTTCAGGGAAGGCAAAGCGAACAATGTTTATACAGCCAAGTCCTAAGTTATTTTAATCTTTTTTTTTACATTATAATGTTGGTGTGACTCATTCTAATGTTACTTGGAGTGTTTGACACGAAATGTATCGAGTTGGTTTTTTCGATAAGCTTCTGTGAGGTAGTCAACACTACATTAAAGTTCTCACGTTCACTTGACCGGAATAGCGTATATTTTAAAGAGTCCACTAATTCTTCAGTTGCGCAGATGGTTGTAACACAAAATCACACCATTTTTATTTCACAATATCCACTATGAACGAATTTAAGAATAATTAAAATAAGACGCCAACCACACTCAAAGAAATCTCGCCAAAAACTCCTATTGAATCTTTCATCTACAGTGTTACCAGTTTAATACAAAATATTTATTTTAAATAATTTCACGGAAAAATGATAAAAAGCAGTCATGTCAAAAATAAATGTATAGTTCTCAGTAACTGGTTATTTAATCTTTTGCCATTTTTGTTAGAAAAGATCAAAACGTCGCAACAAATCGTCATCTTATCTGTATTTTTAAAAGATTGAGAAAAAAAACTTGAAAATATCTGACATAAATTTGACAATTATTCTGCCATTGGCCTGCATCATTCGCCAACGCGCAACGAGAGGTCGAAGCCGCTCGTTGGCGTCGAGCTTTTCAAAAATACGGAATTGATTATGTCGAATTAAAATGAGTGTAAATCGAGCGTTTGGCGCAAGACGAGTGATTCAAAAATAGAGCTCCTGATCTGTGTCGTAATTATCATCATCAGCTTATAATGTCTTCACTGCTGGAGCACAGGCCTTCCCTATGGATGGAATAGGGAGATTGGGCCATGACCCACCACGCGGGCCCAGTGCGGATTGGCGGGTGCTAACCACTGCAGATGCAGCCGGGACCAACGGCTTAATGTGCCTTCCGAAACACGGAGTAGCTTGAGATAATAAATTTTTGGTCACCCATCCAATGACCGACCACTGTGAAAGTTGCTTAACTCATTTACGAACTCCATCCTTTATGTCACCCAATTATATCTCAATTTGAATTACTGGTGTTTGTCTTATTAGTTTACTTTAATATGTTAACTCATCAGAAAGAACAATATTATAGAAACTTTTTTTGAAGGCAGATATTAAATTGCTCATAAACTGAAGCATATTTAATGCAACTATGCAACCATTTTGCATATTTACGATTGTCTGGAAGAAATTCTTTTGTAGCGATAAGGCCACCATTTGTATTATTATGTAATAGTCTTAATTAATTGTAACTTAAAATTTCATGGTGTACAATAAAGCGATCATTCAGTCATTCAAAAACTTTCTATTTCAGTCAATGTAATATTTTCTAAAGTTATATAATATTAAGTTCAACTACCTTCTTTTGTATCAAATTATAGTTGTGTCCTCCTCCACACATGTAAATATGATCACACTCGGAAACTTCAATAAATTCTTAAGTTGATTTCCAGTTATACTGTAATTTCTTTGCATTGACAAAATAATAAGAGAAATGAAATTTAATCCCTATTCCCTAGTGTGTAAAACCTAAGTTCTTTTGCAGCATACCTCTATTCGCGAGGGGAGGCGACGTAACATTGTTCTTGTACGGAATGTTTCTACTGAACAAATGTATCGCTCAACTGCTGAGGGGCAGAGGATTGCCAATAGCAGATATGCGAACGACGTTAGCCAATATACAGAGGCTGCTGTTAACACCGAATAATCTGTAAGTTGATATTTTCAAAAACATTATTTTCAGCCTTTTAATGTTTCCACTGCTAACGAATCAGAAATTATGTGGATGCCGAATTGCGCTAAAAGTGCGATTAAGTGGGCGGAGCGAAAAAACTGCGATCAACGCCGATCGTGGGATTGGTTGGGATTGTTTTGTTCAAATCCAGAGCTCCATGGGGTATAGGAATCGTATCGTACCAGCTATCCTCGCAACTCCATTCACACTTAACTAAGATAATAGGGTATTTGACAAGTTTTATAAAACGATCTCACGTTATTGAATGTTTATTGAGTCCGTAAAAAATGAATATATGATAGAATGATGAATCATTCTGTTGTGTATTTCAGTAAAAGTAACCAAATCAAAAACACCATTTTCAAGTTGCAGCGAAAACGTTTCTCTGGACAATATGGCGTCTTACTAGTGTGTGACGTCACACGAGTGTTATTAAGACGTCAAACGATACAATGTAATGTCACTTTAACCGGAAGTTTACTTGCGTGTGACGTCATTTTAGGCTCCGCCAATCCCAAGCGTTTTGGGTCACGTGACAATAGATAAGAAAATTATTATCTTTTTTGTTAGTACATATTTAGTAAAATTATGAATATTTTTTTTTTGTAAAAATAGTAAAAACCCCTGCCAATATTCATTCTAAACACAGATGCTAACAATTGGCAGTTTATTTTTAACGCTGTCAAATACCCTATTGTTTTAACCTGAGGCCCAAGCAGGAATTTTGGAATTTGCCAAAGTTTTTTATGAAAACTGAGCAGCGCCCCTAGCGGACATAAGAACAATCTTACTCCTTCCATACAAAGACGATGACGATACGATTACGGAACTGTTAAAATTCGTGCTCGGGCCTCTGAACCTTGTATTAAAAAGAAAATATTTCCATATTTCTTTTCAAATATTTAATACTTGTAAAGGTATTCATTTGACATTGTGGGCTACCTACAATGCAAAGAGATGGCGCTGCCTTGCAGCCTAAGAAAAGTTAGAGAAAAGTCGACACGGCTATCAGGGCCGCGGTAGCATAATGCTCAGTGCATTCGCCCGGATAGCGAACGGTGCGGGTTCGAGTCCCGTCTGCTGCTTGGTCAGCGTGGATTTTTCTCTAACAAAAATTTTCTTTAGATTTAAACATCCGGCAGTTAAATACTTGACTCCTTGCCGAGGTCTGTATTCCCGGACCAATTATGTTCTGGCCATCTTCAAGGCCAGAGTGAACAGGCATCTTCTAGGCAGGCGTGTACCATCCTAGACCTCATCATCGCTTTCCATCAGACGAGATTATGATGAAACCCCTGGCCTACTAAGCATTAAAAAAAACATTTGGAACCTCACCTTATTTCAGTAAAAAAGGAAATAAAACCTACTCAAAAGGAATAAGCCATTTGAACATTATGTTCTAAAATCAAATTAAAAGCTCGCGCTTTCGCGACTTCCTGTTACACACTTCCGTTCCATTTCACGAAATCACTCGCACAAATTGCAGGAAAGAGAGAGTTAAGATGTTACACATAAAAAAATAACTGTTTCCATATTTATTCTTATTACCTTAGCGTAAGGTTCATATTCGCACTTTTTCCTTTTAGGAGTGACACATCAAAGTTATTCGGTACTCACCGTTGGAATGCGGACACTTGTCCCCGCACCCAATCGCTACGAAGCCTAGTGGTCACCGACCGGGTGAACTACAGGCAGTTCAACAGATTCAAGGTAATAATAATAATCTCTTATCTATTAGACAAGTCCGTCCGTCTGTCTGTGGTGCTGTTTCAGCGGCCAAACCGTAAGAGATAGATAAAGAGAATATTTAAGTTATAAGTTAAGAATAGTCTGATAAGACTACCAACCGGATTTGAGTAACGTAGCACTTCCGGTTTTCGAGAAATCACGAATTTCAAACGAAACCACACAAAATCTCCGAAGTTCTCAATTAATTAAATACATTTTTTTTAAATCAGGTTTTGGTGAACATTTGGTTCACTGGTTTGCTAGTAATAATATAATAGCGAAGAGTCTCGACCAATATCTAAAGAGCCTCTCTCTAGATGGTTGGGTCAAGGGGCAGATGCAAAAGGCAGTACTCCTGGACATACCGCGCATCGTCGGGCGGTTTCTCTCTGCGGCTATAACCACCGGTTAGGTTAGGTTTTTTATATGATATTTATTTTTGTATTTACGTTTATGTACAACTTTTATAACTATTTTATAAAAAACCTAACTGTTAAATTAAATAAATGAGATAATAATAAACACTTTATAGCTCACATACAAAAATACATAGGTACAAAGAATACATTTAACAATAATATGGGCAAAGGCGGTCTTATCGCTACAAGCGATTTCTTCCAGACAACCTTCGCGGTACAGGTAAGCTAAACGGAAAAGAAGATGTAGTAAGCCAGCAGAGTCGATGAGAAATGTAAATATGTAATTAATATAATATACGTACATATAGGTAATTGTCTATCAAACACTTACATATACATATACACATACATACCACATATAAATATATATAATTGAACATAAATATATACCTACATACTAACAACATTATGTAATGTTAAAGTAGACTAAGTTCGCAGCAGAAGGAGAGTATGTAGTCTACTTTTAAATATGGGAAGTGACTTTGAACTCCGGATTTCAGACGGCAGCTTATTCCAAAGTTGTGCTAAGTTAGGGTAAGTTTTACGAGTACAGTTAACCTTTAACACATTGAATGCCGATTAACTGATCAGGTGTTCATTGGTTCCCACCATACAAATGGTCTTCTACGTAATACTACGTACTCAGCTCCGCGTTTAAAAATGGCATGTGTGGTGCCTACTACGCTACGCAATAACGGGGAATAAACGGGATGCCGAGTACGTAGTATTACGTAGAAGACTATTTCATCTTCTGTCCCTTTTCCACCTAGGTCAAGTTACTGTTTTTTTTTATATAATTATCGATCTCATTAATTGTAAAACTAATGATATCATTATAAAACTGTACTTTTTTGCCTCAAAGTGCCTAGGAAATCTTATGATCTGAAAAGTTTTAAAATAATAAAGTTACTTTTTTCCATGTCATGTCTTATTTGAGATGCCAACAAACCTAAAAACTCCCTTTCCAGGAGGCCTAATAATACAAACAACCATGTAAACCGTAAGAAAGTGCTACGTTGTATAACGTAGCGGACCCCTAGCATCACGAGTACCTACGCAATATTGCGTAGTTAGCATTCAATGTGTTAAAGCGCCATGATTGTTAATTTTTCATAATATCTATAATTATAATAAAGAAAGTTGAATCTAAATATCATTTTTTCTTTCTTCTTAGAGACTTATATTGAGACATAGAACTATAGGGTTTTGATGATGTTCGGAATCAGTTTCGAGAAAAAGATTGTATGTGTATATAGTATATAGTAGCCGCTGTAGTGTTAAAATTTACTTCCATACTTAAAAGTTAAGGAAATTGCAATCGAGTCTGTTTTAGAGCTAGAACACACTTGCAAACTATGATGTTTTATAGATATAGATACGTCATACACGCTTCTATACGAAAGTCAGGTAATTGCCCGACTTGCATCCAGTCGCGAACGCTCTCCCGCCGCGGCTACACTTCGCTACAACTTAACAATATTTTACGTTTTAGCATGCAAAAAGCACTTTGACAATGGGCGCGTGAATGGCAATGTTTTTTGAAATTCATATAACCACTCATCGAGCAGTGAAAATTGTGGCAGTCTGATGAGCGAGCAGTTAGCCCGGTTTAAAAGTTTAAACAATGAAGGAGTGTTATTGTGAAATTTACAAAAAAAATATAAACATTGCAACACCCAAACAGGTTTTAAACTTTCATGGTCACTAACATTATAGTAATATAAGTTATTTACGGGATTGTTACCAGTTACTCCGTGATCATGGCGCTTGCAACAGTGCCGAAATATCGGAAACTCGCTAAAAACAAGGTACATGGTAACAATCCCTAAATAACTTATATTACTATAACCCAAACTGGGGGCCAATCGCCTAACGGAAATGCTTGGGAAAACGCTAACGCTTACGATTTTATTTTGTTATTTCTAGCCGCCTTAGGTATTCAAATGCCTCGCGCTCTTTCTTTTTCTTTTGCATTGGTAATAACAATATTAAAAAAATGAGCGTGAGGTATTCGAAAACCTCAGGCGGCTAGAAATAACAATATAAAATCGTAAGCGTTAGCGTTTCCCAAAGCATTTCCGTTAGGCGATTGGCCCCCTGGTGTTATAAAGGTTTTTAAATTATGACATTAGATGTTTTAAAGTAGGCAATAAGCTACTTGTTTCCGAATTTTTAATAGCGGTTTTAAATCATGGCTGTAGATATAATATAACATCAAACTTCGTCGAAGACAAATATGGCTCAAATTATTCTAAATGGTCTATGCCAGCTTCGCTTTAAAGCTTTGCACCCAGCCAATCACCCTGAATAAATACTTAAAGAAAAAGTTTTATACCATATATTTTTTTTATATAGCCGGATAGGCAAATGACTCTACCCCACCTAATGTTAAGTTGTGATAAGAGTCCAAACGGGAAGATAGCTGGTACAGCAGTTACAAACTGCCACACCAACCAATCTCACCTTGCCGGCCTTGCCGATTGTAGGAAGGAGGGAACACGTGAGCGGGCAAAGAATTCCACTTGCGAATAGTAAGGCAAAGAAATGAGTCACCAAATTACTTTGTTCGTGTAGGAATAGTGGCCACAGTAAATCGGTGGCAACGTAGGCCTGAGGAGCTGGTTAGCGCGTTTGGCTGCGGTCGTTGAAGTTAAGCAACTTTCGCGGTGGTCGGTCATTGGATGGGTGACCAAAAATTTACTATCTCGAGCTCCTCTGGGCTTCGGAAGGCACGTGAAGCCGTTGGTCCCGGCTGCGTCTGCAGTCGTTAGCACCCACCAATCCGCACTGGGCGCGCGTGGTGGGTCATGGCCCAATCTCCCTATTCCATCCATAGGGAAGGCCTGTGCCCCAGCAGTGGGGACATTAATAGGCTGATAATGATGATGATGATGATGAACGTAGGCCAGCGCTCGTGGTCCTCTGAAGAAAAGGTGATGGAGGGATAAGGGAGAATTACTCCTCAGAACACTCGCCGTGGTTATAGTCGTTAGAACGCACATAATTATGCCACATCGCGGCTTAATTGTAGAGACGTAATTATTAAGCAAATTTCTCTTCTTCATTAGGATTCAGTGGACGGGCAGTCTCCACAATCGGCTTTGAACCTCAGACGGCATCGGCATTCGAGAAGCGTAGGCAGCTACCATCCAGATGATCAGGTACCGTATGTAGATATTGTCTTAGATATAATTAGTTTTTATTCACAATATATACATGTATGTACAACTCAAGAACAAATAGTAAGATATTTATAACTAAAAACCTTAAAAAATACATATATATTTATAATAACTAAAATACATTATTAAAAGGAGTCCCTTTAGGCAAGGTTCCAAAGATACTGGCAGCATTCCCCCTTTGAATAGCTAGACTAATTCTTTGTCCTAGGTAGCTGCCAGCTCTTCGGTCAGATGAAATCATGAAATCACGATCGCTTTTGGGAGAAGTATCAAAAGATCTAAGATATACTAGCAACCTTGCTTTTTCAATGTTCTTAAATATCTGATTTAAAATATTTTACGAAACCCGACTTGTAAAACTTGTGAAAAGAATTTTATACAAAATTGTTCTATAAAATAGATAAAAATGCTATTGAAAAAATATTATAACTACACTAGATGTTGCAAATTTTTTTCTTTAGAAAGGAAAACCTTTTTTGCTTTTTTTATAAATATTATATCCCCTTGTCATGTTAGACCATGAAACGCGACATTTAGTTATTATCATTAATTATACGGATCTATTTCACAGAATTGATTAAGCATCTGTGAAGTCAAAGAATTTATTATTTTTTTATACCCTATGGATGACTTGCTGTCTTATTTTTTTTGTGCTCCAAACTAATATTTTCGTTTCTTTAAGTGTGAGTTTATTTCATTTTATCTAATTTTACCATAGCTATGATATATATAAGTTACCGTAGAATATGCACCGTAGTTAGTATAATAGTATTTTATTGTAAAACTTGATAGATGTTAGGGTAAAAATTCATTCCTCGTAGAAATCATCGTTATTTCATTTAAAGTTGCTAGATAGTGCCATTTTTTTTTTCATTTAAAAGTGTTGCAAGGAGCATATGGCCTTTCACATAGACCATGCGGCCATCATAGCCACATAAAATTGTTGAACAATTGGGAAAAGGCCAAGTTCAATACAGATGGCGCTTCTTTTGTGTGACATGACAAGCAAGCAGTCATTTTCTCCCATATTAATAAACCCGGAATAAGCTTTGACTAGTTACACCATGTTTTGTTCCTATTGATGACCTCCGTGGCCAAGTGGTTTGTACGCCGGGTTTCATGGTATCGCCGGCTCGAGAGGTCCCGGGTTCGAATCCCGGTGGGGGCAGATGTTTGTGTGATGAACTCCAGTCATGGATGTTTAATATGTATTCCTATATAAATATACTTATATATGTACAGTATATGTATTCTATCCGTTACCCTAGTATCCCATAACACAAGCCTTACAGTGCTTACTTTGGGGCTAGGCTAATTGGTGTGAGTGTTGGAAATATTTATTTATTACTCAAATGCCTTTTGTCTTGCAATGAACAGAGATAAAACATGGAGTAACAAATCCAAGCTTATTCTTCGTTTATTAATAAGGGGGTTTGAGTTAACGGTTTGGTTCTGTATAGACGCTTGCGAAACCAGAGTTACCCTTTTGTTAAGATCCCTGACTATCCTCTATAAAGTAGAATAGCTAGCTTATTATCGTTTTGTTGCAAATATTTCATCAATTTAAGAATTTAACTAAACATTTTCCGTTTCCTCGAACCTACTCAATCCAATAAATAATCAAAAGCAAAGCTCCTTTACAGTAGATTATGTATCTAGAATCTAGCAAGGATTTCTTTGAAGCAATTTTTTACATACCTTTATTTTTATACAATACAGGAACTGTCAGCATTAGACGTATCTACGACATCGATCATGGGAAGCGAACCGTACATTTACAACGTAAAGTTGCCACAAACTAGTGAAGCAGAAATACCAGCTAACATTTCAATGCAACAACACAATTCCGATTTGGAAATAAATAGACTTGCCGACGATTTAGAAGAGGAGAAAAGCAAAGTCGTCTTCACATTGGGCGATGATGCGGAACCAAACGACTTGGAAGCGGAAAAACTAGTAGGACTAGTAACGGAAGCGCAGAAACTTGTGAAATTGTCTAGCAACAACGGCGATGAACTAGAAGCGGAGTGTCACATAGGAGATAATGTGAAGAGAATTTGTTCTGAAATCGAGAATTTTTGCTCGCTTTGTGAAAATAAAGATGTGCAAGATGCCTGTGATGTTGTCAAACATATGGACACTATAAATCGGGACTTAGTAATGTGTGAAGAGTTAAATGGTGCACTAGTTTCTTGTGATTCTTGTGAAAATAACGAAGTTCGAAGTGTAAATTGTGCCAATGTAGTAACTGACGTTATTGTGATACCGAGTGCAGAGGCTAGTGTCGATATTGGACAAGAATTGGTCGAGGGAGATGGTCCGAAACTATAATATTGATGGTTTGTCAGTCTTTTATCTCAAAATGTTGGCAAACGAAGGGAACTGTGGTAACTAGTTAACTGCTTTTCAGTATGCTTCCAGAACAAAATTCCAATATTGACGGCAAAAATGTTTGCAACATAAATATAACAACAACAAATACTTACAAAATTTTTATTGGAAGTGAAACTATGCCCTTTCTTCTAAATTATTTATTGAACATCATAAGAATGCGAAGAAAATAGTAATGGGTTCCTATAAATAAGTCTGAATAAAATGTTGCAATAAGTAAGTCAATTAATTGATATCTGTTTTCAATTTACTTATGTAATATTTATAAATTCATTTCTGCAGAGGAGCTCGATGGCGCAAGTGGTTAGCGCATTCGGCTGCGATCGTTGATGTTAAGCAACTTTCGCAGTGGTCGGTCATTGGATGGGTGACCAAAAATTTACTATCTTGAGTTCCTCCGTGCTTCGGAAGGCACGTTAAGCCGTTGGTCCCGGCTGCATCTGCAGTCGTTAGCACCCGCCAATCCGCACTGGGCCCCGCGTGGTGGGTCATGGCCCAATCTCCCTATTCCATCCATAGGGAAGGCCTGTGCCCCAGCAGTGGGGACATTAATAGGCTGATGATGATTTCTGCAGAGGCCCAGGCACGAACTTTGACAGCTCCGTAATCGTATCGCCATCGTCAAAGGACATGGTAAAATTTTGTATGAGCGACTGCCCTAGCAATGTATAAATATTGTACTTAGTATTATATAATGCAGAATGGCTGAATATTTATAATTTCTATGTAAAAGGGATCAGGAACTTTTGATAAAGTCACAGTCTTGAAAATTATGAGATCTCCTACGACGTTATTACCAATTATTTATAGAGCCATCAATTTCGCATTTTATTTGATATTTCCTCCCATTTATCTGATTAACACTTCACAAAAAGTATTTTTAAAAGTAATTATAAATACAAATAATTTATTGTCGTCGGCCTTACATGAAATCTTTGAAGTTTTATTTTGTTCATTTGCAAAAATCAAAGCATTAATTATCACACAGCCAACAGCAAATTCTCTCAAGCCTGATCAGAAAAATAAAATCTATTATTTTAGGCCTACAGTGATTTGTTATAATAAAAATAATGGCCAAATATGTCATAGTTTTTAGGAGTTTTGAATTAATATTGTTTATTTCGATATATACTGGCAGAAATATTTTTTAGTATACATTTATTGTGCATATATTTTTGTAAAACGGAACATTTTCCTTTTAAAACGAGACGTGAAGTCAATTTTTATACTTTTAAATATTTGATTATTTCACGAAAGTTGTATGAGAATTATAAACACATAATAATTAATAAAAAATATTAAAAGGTTACGGGCTAGTGCGAAATAATTATACACGTTAAGGGCAGTTTCTTAGCCATATCCTTTTGTATGGAAGGAGCAAGTTTGTTCTTACGTCCGGTAGGGGCGCTGCTTAGTTTTCATTGAAACTTTGACGATGCGATACGATAACGGAGCTGTCAATAATCGTGCTTGGATCTCCGTTCTTTGCATCTTCTCTTATTAACTGTCATCACAATAACATTTTGAGATAAAAGACTATTGAGCATTATGGAATATTCATAAAAAAAAACATGTAACAATTTGTAAAGGAAAGATAATTATTATCGTCACATCACCCACCATGACACAATTAATTGATAACAATGATATCAATACTTTTATTTATTAAAAGGCTAAATCTTCTAATATTGAATTATTATAATTTATCCTAAACAAATAAGTTTTCTTTCTTATACTGTATTCATTTAATAAAACACTTAAAATGGTAGAGTCTGTGCGGAAAGAGAATGGGATTTAGATTGGAGGGCGCTGTAGTGCTTTTCTACCGTATTTGTAAGGTTTTACCCCTTTTAGACATGATTAAATACAAAAACCGCAAGAAATCACGACAACAGACAATCCCATATCAATACACAACTTTGACGTTTTACAGATTGCTGGGTTTTTTTGCCAAATAAAAATCTTAATGTTAGTTCCGTTTTTCGCCACGCCCATTCTCTTTCCGCACAGACTAACGTATTTCTTTTATAAATTTAAGTTCATACTTAAAGCTTTATTTATTATCAGTTTGTTTAAATGCAAACAATTTGGTCTTTGTTTTAATACAGGGCCCTAGCCAGAGTTGTATTTAAGATAGGGCAGAGGTTGCAGGATATATAATTACAGGTTACATCTAATATATAAAATTCTCGTGTCACGCTGTACGTAATTGAACTCCTCCGAAACGGCTCCACCGATTTTCGTGAAATTTTATATGCATATTCAGTAGGCCTGAGAATCGGACAACATCTGTTTTTCATCCCCCTTAACGTTAAGGGTGGTCAACCATTATTTTTTATGGACATTTTTTTGTTTTTATTTTTTTATGATACATCATACAAAAATACATACAACCTTAAATTTTCAAAATTTTCTACCACCCATATTTTTATGGCGATACGAAGTTCGCAGTATTTATATATAATTATAGAAATACAGGTAATGCGCATAATCATGTCCGTTTAATGGTAGAGCTGTGGTATTTTAGAGTTGGGCATTGCCCTATAATGCCCCTAACTCCCCATCGCTACGACTCTTTTTTAAGTAAGCTTTGTAAAGCTATTAAAATTATACCTGTCAAACTTCTTAAAGTAATTTCTAACTTCATATCACCTCACACAATATTCATTTTTCGAGGAGAAATATTTGATACTTTGGTAACTTGATTTTTATTTTGACATCAGTACCCCTACCTCGAACCAATATCGAATTCGAATCGTTTGCGAGTCCGAAATGTCATTGTCAAATGTGTACTGATTTTTAGTTCTCATTAAGTACTTTGTGCTGCTGCTGTTCAAGTTTCCATACAAATTTTGACATTGACATTTCGGTTTGCAAACTGTTCGAATTCGATAATGGTACGGTATTCTTAGCACGGACCATTATCGAATTCAAATATTTGAATTCGATCTCGATACGCGTCGAATGTCAAAAAGTATTGTATACTTGCGTATATCAATATCGAAATCGAATAGTTATAAGGTTATAAGGGTTACCAGTACCCTTAGCATGAACCAATATCGAATTAGAATTTAACGTTTGAGTATAGTTATAATGTACAGCTGTCAATTGGCAATACCTGTTTTGATGTTAGTTTCTAGTGTTTTATTAAATGTGCTATGCTTTTGAATGTTATTTTAGTTAAAAATTCAAGAGTGCTCTTTTGAAAATGTTCTTATGATGTAAAAAACTACATCATGTTGTGATATGTGTAAATAACTATTTATTGAATATATATATATATATATAGTGAAATTTGAATAGCCTAAGTGTTTGATGCAAAATAAATAAATACTTTAAAATCTATATAGATTTCCGCATTCGTAATATTTACCATGTATAAGTAAATAGAACTGTTTATATGATTGTTTGATGCTTACATTCGTAAAAGTGGATTTGTCTTGTTATATTATTGAAAGTTCAGAGAAATATTGCCACACCTAAATTCAGGAATTTGGAGATCTTTAACGGTATTGGCTAGTACTTTTTTTCTGTATTGTTATAAACCAAATTTCTTGTCTGAAGTGGAACTAGGAGTTCGATGATTATTGCGTTGCGCGTGCGATTGTGACAGTTAAGCAACTTCCATGTAGACTAATCATCGGATGGATGGACAAAACTATTTTCTTTGCCTAGAATATTATGATTTTGATCGGCTCATCACAATAATGTTGTTGTTTTATTTGGCTCGATAATATTTTATCTTTTTGTAAAAAGATTTCGGTCTTACTAGGCACCTTTTAGACAAGTGACTTTCTTTTCTGTTTGAGCGAAATCTTATCACTAACTTTAAAGTTTAAAATTAAAATAATAATAAAAAAAAATCTTTGAATTAAAATATCGGATGCTCTGGTTGTTAATTCCGTACAAGAAATTATATGTTTGATAAAAATAAAACTTACGTCATGTAATTTTATTTGTTTAATACTTATTGTTTAAGTTTAGAGTTAGTATTATCGTTCAAGCTAATTTTAAAGACCATCACTTTTCTTCGAGTCCTTGGGCGGGCGAAAAATTGTTTGGCGAAACGATAAGGAAATATTGAGAAAATTAAAATTTCTCCCAAAGTGGAAGAACAAGACTTGATTTTTGGGTTACATTGGTTTATTTTTCCAGGTTTCATAATGCATTATTATAAATTTTCATTACTAAGAGTCGCATTAAGAGACTTCAATGAAATTTAAAACATCATTACGTTAAATCTATTGTTTTTTTAATATAAAAGTTAAAATTTAGGTAATTGACTTTTCTCGAGTACGATCGTAAGATATAATGTACAAAATCAAAGTAATAGTTTTAGTACCAGTTTTATCGCTAAAGATCTCCAATGCAATCAAAGTTAACGTTTTAATAATTAAGCTATTTATTTATAGTAATTAGCGAATTTCGTGTGCGTCTCAAGGAAGTTCTATCGACATTGTACTTTAAAAAACTACAAGAAATTGAGAACAGAATTTGTAATATAAACTTGGAAATTAAAATAATAAATAATTTCTACTATATAGAAGTTTTTTTGTGACTTTGATTTCCTATGATATACATTTTTCTATCGCATTCATTCAACTCCAAAACCAGAAAACCAGACCACTTGTGAAGATCAAACGATGATAATTTCTATAGGATTGCATCGTCATATTACCGAGCACCCATAGATTGCAATAAAATAGGGTATTTGACAAGTTTTAGAACACGATCTCACGTTATTGACTAATGTTTATGGAGTCCGTAAAAAGTGGATATTCATCATTCTGTTGTGTATTTCAGTAAAAATAACCAAATCAAAAACTCCATTTTCAAGTTCCCGTGAAAACGGTTTTATGGACAATATGGCGTCTTACTAGTGTGTGAGGTCACACGACTGTTATTAAAACATCAAACGATACAATGTAATGTCACTTTAACCGGAAGTTTACTTGCGTGTGACGTCATTTTAGGCTCCGCCAATCCCAAGCGTTTTGGGTCACGTGCCAATAGATAACTATTATCTTTTTTGTGGGTTTTTAGTAAAATTATGAATATTTTTTTTGTAAAAATAGTAAAAACCCCTGCCAATATTCATTCTAAACACAGATGCTAACAATAGGGAAGATGCAATATTTTTATTTTTGTTTTCATTTTAAAGAATTCCATGTAGAATAAACCACAGATATATTAAAAAATTAAAACATTGTGATTTATCGGAAAAAATGCGGTTTTAAATTGACAATTTAAATTTTCGCGCGAAAACGAACCTATGGTTGCGATGACGTCACTCCTATCTGTCACTGGTCGTACTTGTTCGTTGCTGGCTTTAAATTTTCATTCTTTTGCATATTTTTTCGACTTTCGAAATATTTTTTTTGAAAAATTTAAAATGGACTATCCATTAACATCATGTGATCATAACAATACTACTAATATTCCGGAAAAAAAGCCGTGTTGACTCATGTTTTGTGCCAATGTACTTCAACAAAGTTCCCAAATAAATTGTTTTTGACTGGAACTTCTGACCCAAAACTGAAAAAAAAGTGGTTTCAAGCTGCGAAGAGAAATGACCATTATTCTGAGAAGACCACTTTGACGTAAGTCGGCAAATATACTTGTTATATGCTAAATTAATCTGCTTGTACGTAAAAACGCATTAGTAACCTACCTAATACTTACAAAACCTGTCTATAACATATTTTTAATTTTACAGTTGGAGAATGACGTCGAAAATTAGGTAAAGTTTAAAATGTGTGGCACAATCTTCACATTGGCATGACTGAACCAAGCTTTGCGTTTCATTTAAAATAACTGTAACACGATAACCTTCTTTACGTACTTTATGCTCCGGAGAACTCGACCTTTTACTGTACATAATTCTCCATCTCTTTTAATTTGGACATAGCCGATTGATTGCATTATCGCCGTAAGATTTGTAGAAGCCGCTGAATAAAATACGAAGTTTAACAACTACGATTTTTACATACCGTAGTAATTTAGTCCCTTTCATTTCTTCACTTAAAAACTCTGCACTTTGGACAAAAAAAGTTATAACCATGTCAACGCTAACTCTTGGTAAATTCCTGGAGTCTGCTTTGATAAACGCAACTTCCATTTTTATTAAATGTAAAAAAACGCAATAAATATTCCCATAAAATAATATTTACTTTAACAACCATAACCTCAAAGAAGTTGTCATAACAAGAGTGACGTCACTAAACGCTGATTGGTGTTTTAAAATACGTTCCGTTTCAAGTATTTTTAATTCGTAATAATTGTTAAAAAACAACATTATGTAAAATAAAAACGTTGCAGTGGCATTTCTTTTATATTTTTTTTTCATTTTAATCATAAAATTTTCATAAATATAATATATGCATCTTCCCTATTGGCACTTTATTTTTAATACTGTCAAATACCCTATTGCATTATTGACCGAACTTTTTCAACTCAATCGGAACCCGAAAATATGGGTCCAACTTATCTGACAAGATTTAATCACCTCGATCGACCATGTATTTGAGGCAGTATCGAGGGGAAATATACCGTATCGTGTTCATATCAAGGTTGCTATTTCCTCACATCCCCTTAATTATACCTCATCTGATGAAAACAACAAAAGAGGCAGTATTTAAACCATGGAGCAACCCTTAGTAGAGCCCGCATACAAAGGCAAGCGCTTGCGCCAAGCTTAAGAACCCTTTTACAAAATTGCGCCGCTGCCGTACCAACCGATCGGCGCGTAGGCAGATTTGCACTAATATATATTGTATTTTACGGGTGATGTTTCGAGTCTTATGAAATATTTATTAATGAACTAATTATAAAAATATATACATATTTGAGTAGTTCAATGATGGCAGATTAGTTTTATAAAAGCTTTTGATAGTAATTCTATTTAATTCAATATCAAAATACGAGGTAAACCTGCATTATTTTTTGGGAAAACTCACGGAGGTTAGATGTTTTTTTATAATTAATGAGATGGATGCTATTACTCACCGCGCGAGCCCAGTGCGGATTGGTGGGTGCTAACGACTGCAGATGCAGCCGGGACCAACGGCTTAACGTGCCTTGCGAAGCACGGAGGAGCTTGAGATAGAAGATTTTTGGTCACCCATCCAATGACCGACCACTGCGAAAGTTGCTTAACTTCAACGATTTCAGCAAAATGCGCTAGCCACCCGCGCCATCGAGCTCCTCCGTGGCCAAATTTTACAAACCTTTAAATTTATTTTAATAATCTTTCAATGAGGTATCCGAACGTTCAATAAGTCTTTCGGAGGTAGCTCGACAAAAGTAAATAAAAATCATAATTATTTCTGACGACGACGCAGCCCGAAAAAGATGCGAAACGTCAAAAAGTAATAAACTTTGAACCCGTTTAAACGATTTTATTTACTGAAACTAATTTTGAAAGAGTTTTGTTTATTTATTTTTTCCAGCTGAGATTTTTTCGCAATTCGCATTACAGGCCGTTGACATCTTTCAGGAAGCCAAGCAGCTTCTTAAAGATCACGCCGGCCGCCCCGGGTTTTGCTATAGATTCTTCAGTCAAAATATAACGACCGACCAGTTAAGATAGACCCCTGGCTGGGTGTCCATTCGTATAAAGAAAACTCCTAAATAACCTCGGACTAGAGCTCTTTTTAATTTGGTCCTTGTACCGCCCAGCTGATGTATAAATAGAAAATGGCCGCCCGCAGTCGCTCACGCATGTTCTCGTTCCATATTCTCGTCCGGCGCTCGAGCAGCCCGGATCGATTTGAAATTCGAACACTGTTTTTCGAAAAATTTAATTTACCTATGAAAAATTAGATTTCTTCAAATTCGAAAAACAACGACTGGAAAGGCCATAGACTGTATAATATTTGCGAAAGCGCAATTCGAATTTCGTGTGTCAAAAAAAAAAAACGCGAGTGCCGGTGAAAATGTGTGATCATTGTGTGCAACGGTGATTTGGATGTTAGTGCGTTACTCACGCATGTGGTAAGTAATGTACCTATTATTAATAAAACATATATTCAATAATTATTTTTATAACCGTGAGTTTGCACGGCGATTTGTGTCAATTTCAACGGTAGAATTACCGAATATTGAGCGCTTGATAACTCTAAATTATTATGATTCAAAGTGTGACACCTGCCGCGTTACATAATACCCAATGATATTGTGGAGCTTATCCCAATTATTCAGTAGTTGGATCAGCGCCGATTTAGCCGTAATTAGGCCGACAGTATATCGTTCTTCTAATGTGATTAATAAGGCTGTTTGAACATTGAGATGTCCGCAAATTGATAGGTTTATAAATAAGTGAGGTATGAGGTTATCATTGCACAATGCACATAGGTACAATGTTTAAATTAAATAGGGCAACATCTGGCAGGAATCTTTTTATTGATTATATTGATCTTACCAAGATTGATAGATGTTTAGCTGAAAGTTTGTTTTTTGTCAATATAATCTGAGCGATTCGCATCCAGCATCAGCTCTACATAATTTATCGTTTTTATCTAAGTCTACAACTTTTTATGTGAACAGGATGGCAAACAAAGAGAGGTGGGATTTTCCGCTCGAATTGGAACGCCCGTGTGGGGAAGTAACCTTCACCGTACTGAAGATAAGATTTCTACACAGTAAAATTACACTGAGGAGCTCGATGGCGCAAGTGGTTAGCGCGTTCGGCTGCGATCGTTGAAGTTAAGCAACTTTCGCAGTGGTCGGTCATTGGATGGGTGACCAAAAATTTACTATCTCGAGCTCCTCCGTGCTTCGGAAGGCACGTTAAACCGTTGGTCCCGGCTGCACCTGCAGTCGTTAGCACCCGCCAATCCGCACTGGGCCCGCGTGGTTGGTCATGGCCCAATCTCCCTATTCCATCCATAGGGAAGGCCTGTGCCCCAGCAGTGAGGACATTACTAGGCTGATGATGATGATGATGATGAAAATTACACTGTCTTTTCGTGGTGCTATTTCTGTTGGTGGGATTGGGTCACTCGAGCATGCCCAAGTAGCCCTCCGCAGCGGACGGGGGGCGGTACGGTGGGCACTAGGCCGCGTACTCAGCCCCCACGGGCCCCCCATCCTGCGCACGTCTGCGGGGTCCCCGCGATATCTCGGGAGACCCCTGCCGTGGAGCCCCGGCTAGGCCGGCAGGCTGCTGGGTGCGGAGACACGGAAGAATCCCTCAACGGGAATCCCGCGGTCTCGCATGAAGCTGCTTAGAGGGTATTCGCAGGGTTTTTTAGCGGATATTGTGCCGTTAAGCGCCCGTAACAGTTACGGGGTCCTCAGTGGGCAGCCACTGCTGGGGCTCGTAAGGCTAGCGGGAGCCAGGTGTGAGGTCCGTTCGGCGGTGTGCCTCTTAAAGACGTCGTCTCTAAATAAAGGTTTTGGCTGCGTCACAAAAACAAAAAAAGGGTAGGTAATGGTGCAAGTGACATTTTTGGTATCGCAAGCGCTATAGGTAAGGTTACCAACATTTTTTCTATCAAATATAGTATTTTCGAAGCTGTCACCTTTAAAAATATAGTAGATGGCAAAAAACTGAAAAATAGATAGTATGATGTGGTTAAAATATTTACTTTGTTTTTGAAATGAGTATATTTTCGCTGCTCTATACCTAATAATTTAGTTTTTATTTTTAAGAAAGCTTTTACTGGCGAAAGTGCTTTAAGTAAAATGTAGTAGTTTTGCCTACCATATTTTTTTTAGAAATATAGTATTTGCTCCCCTAATATAGTAGGATACTATAATATATAGTAGGGTTGGCAACCCTACTGCATAATATAGCTATAGGCTATGTGGCTATATTGGCAAATCATCAAAGGTGCGATATGAGACAGATAAGTGCCGTAGGTATGCATTGGTATTAATAACACTCGTAGACAGTGGTGTATTTTAAGGGGCCATTCATTTACTACGTAAGACTATTTTCGCTGGTTTTTTACTCCCCCTCCACCATAATTTTACGCAGGTAAAAACCTCTATTTACAGTTGGCGCCCTTAAGAGGCACACCAACGAACGGACCTCACACTTAGCCTCTCGCAAGTCTCACGGGTGCGAAACGGAGAAGCCGTTAAGCAGTCCGCGCGGCTTACGGCATACTATCCGCTAAAAACCCTGCGAATACCCTCTACGCTGTTAAGTGCGATCGTGAGATCCTTGTTGAGGTACTTCTCCGCGTCTCCGCACCAAACAGATCCCGCAGACGTGCCCAGGTCTGTCCGAGCTAGGAACTAAGTGCCCACCGCGTCGCTCCCCGTCTGCTGCGGAAGGGCTGCATAGACATTTCCCTCGCAGGCGCTCCCCCCCCCCCCCCTCTACGTAAGAAGTAATAATAGTCCAACAGCCACCCCCCTGTTTTATTATTTTGGTAGTAATAAACTACTTTTCAAAGTATAATGTTCACTTTGCGCATTTTTTGTGACACCCTCCCAAGACAAGGTAGAGACCCCCCTCTTCCCCTAAATCTCATTATGCAATAAATGAATAGCCCCTAAGATCTGGCGCCGCCCCGGGCCATATATGATTTGACCTAGCGGGGGGGGGGGGGGGGGGGGGCTGCTGCTAGGACGATCAATTCGATGAATTAGATCAAAATATAGGTCGGAAAGGAATGCCTTTATGTGACCTCTCAGCCTACCGCCCCGGCCCATGGCCTTCTCGGAGTTACTTAATTTAGATTGCTCAATTTATGTATGACACATTAATCAAAATGTAGATGAACATTCATTATTTCTCTGGTAAAGACTGAATAGTGTATAGGTACAGGTCGCGGCACGTAACTCTAGCACTGAACAAAACGCGGAGGGGATAGCTGGGCATGGGACTGGAGAGCCAATCGGCGCAACGCACGCCCACCCGCGCACCTCTGTTTCCCCCCAACATATCTTAATTTTTACTTCTGTGCAATAACGGTCAGCGCTAGAGTTTCGTGCCGCGACTTATATATCACATGCATGTGTCCTACAGTTGTGTTTATAATTTGTTATAATAATGCACACGGGTACTTATATATTTTTTTTTCTATTTTGCAACCTAGTCTTCATAAGTGGTTATGGGTAGTCATGCTCTCTTAAAAATCACTTCGGCGGTGTCGTGTGAGGCGGGTCGTGCGATGGCTGATTCATGCGTCATGCTCGTGAACGGGTGATGCCAGCGGAGATGAGTATTCATTCAAGCATTAAAAGGGTGGGAAACAAGCGTATGCCCCCCCCCCCCCCCTGATGGTAAGCAGCCACCATAGCCTATAGACGCTTGCGATACCTAAAATATCAGCCGCACCGTTGCCTTCTTCTTCGGCGCTACACTCTTGACAGAGTGATCGTGGTCGTCACATCAGGGTTGGTGGCGCGCTTCACAATGCGCCGCCATTCCCCCCGCACTGCGGCCTTTCTTGTGCACTTTTGAAGTGGACCGTTCAGTGCCGCTTTCATCTGATCGGTCCAGCGCATTGGTGATCTGCCGCGCGCCCTTGAGCCCTCGACTTTGCCCCGCACCACCAGTTGTTCCAACGACGTATCTTCTCGGCGTAAGATATGGTCAAAGAAAGTGAGAATACGACCTTCTACGATGGAAGAAAGACGTTGTTTGATGGACAGTTCCTGGAGGATGGATGAATTGATTCGGGCACGCACCGTTGCCTACCCTGACCTAATCGCCCAGCTCGTGGAGCCCTGGAACCTACAGAAACCCAACACCACCAAAAATGTAGTGTTATTGTACTGTTATCTTCTGTATGCCATAGTGGTTACTTCTCCAGAAGGCGACCCAATTCGATCGGAGAAGCCGCCGTGGCCTACCACTGTTGCAACAACATAATTTTCCAGTAAAGTTTTGCTTAGGTATGGCAAAATGGTTACCTAGTTTGGTATAATAGCTTCACCTAAACGATAACAAAATCCATATATACATACTTCTTTAACTTTCACCAGAAAACTGTGAAAACAACATGGACTTTTTGCTTTGTAACCAGAATTGAAGGTTTAATGACGAAGGAGTATACACATCGTTAACCCACTCGCTCGCTCGCTGCAGTCCGCACTCGCCTACAATCATAAAATACCCAAAGGGTTACCATAAGCCAAATTTTTTCCCGCCCATTTAGTTTCTCATGTTATTCTGTCGTTAAGAATTTATTTGGGAATATTAATAACAAATTATAGCAATCAATCAATCAAATACTTTATTTGTGATACACGGGTTAAAAGTTACATTGTGCAGCTCCATTTGCCATTCAGATTTAATTAAATGAAATGAACCTCAGAAAAAAAATAAGCAAACCTGAGTGTCGTGGAACACTCGGTTGGCATGAAGTTAAAAATAAATACATAACTACACACAGTATGCTACAATACAACTGAGGGTTGTGGCGGAAAAATGTTATACATTTTTCGCCTAACCGTTCGTTCCAACATAAATAAAGGAATGCGGGAACACATATTTTCGCGGTTTGTAGGGAGCGTGTGTACGCCACCAACACCTTTGTTTTCCCGAAAGCTTGATAGCTTTGCAGCTTTCCTTCCAGTTGCCTGCGGCATTCCGCCGCTGAAACACGGCGCGTCGCACACAGAACGCGCGAAACACTTTCACTTTTTCAAATAATATGGTGTCACAATACTAACAAAGAGATCTTAACACTAAGCTTGGCCGTTTTATTTGAGTGGTAGTGCATTCGTTAAAGTGTTAGCTTAAAAAAAACTTAAGTGTTCTGTAGTTTAGTTATATGACGCGATAGTGTTTTGTTTTTAAAATAGTTTCGCCAGTTACGTACCTACTATTTTATTAGATTCGTGTGCGGTTACTTACTTTTAAAGAGCATTGTTTAAAGCTCATTAAAAGAAATGTGTTGGTTTGTATGTGCGTGATGTGGAATGATTCTATCATTTTTAAATAATGGAGTACAATTTTTGTGAGTACCTACTTTTTAAACTTTTAGAAATTACTTAGTTCTTGATTCATTTAATTTTAATATACTTAGACAAGC